GAACATGAAAGCAGTGCTGCATATATAGGTCTCCTTCCTTGCTGGTAGTATTGAAAGTAGAGACTGACATAATCCTTCATGTTCTTGTATAATCTGGGATTACTTTCATTGACGAGCTCTTCCACCCTTTGAATCACTTGATCCAGATGTGGAACACAGAAAACAGCCAGAGCAATCCTCTCCCTCTCTGAGTTTGTTACCACTCGGTGTAGTTCATGGAATCACTTGTTAATCATTACATCTCTACTTAATTTACTGAATCAAAATTATGTGGCAGAAATTGTCATTTTTTAGCAGAGAACTTGTAGTTGGTAGATTAGCATGGCAGGACCATGTAACTAAATTACTTCGACTTGTGCGAGTGCTGGTGAATGTGAACGGCAAAGGTATGTTAATTTTTTTCGAAGTTTTCCCATACATTTAGACAATTCTTCATATCCATGTCCAATGTGTTGGGGTAACATACTATTGCGGTCATTACCTCTAGTTGATCACCAACATTGATCAGAAGAGCTTGAGGTACGATTGGAACATTAAACCAATATTACTTAATTTATTTAATTTTAAATTTATATAAAAGAGAGATGTCACATACCCCAAGTGAAGAACAGTTATTGTGCTTTCACTGTTATAGATAATTTATTTAATTTTAATTTTAATCCTTTAATTTTATAATAACTAAAAAGATATTAAAAAATATTATACTTTCACTGTTTAACATATGGAAAAAATTAAAAATTTTATTAACAAACTAAAAAAATATCATCATGAATTATGATCTCAAAATCGATTTTGAAGAAGTTAACAAATTGTAAAAAAAAAAATTATTAACAGTGAAATTAACAAATTGTGATCCATATCCATCCCGTGATCCAAAGCCAACCACGAATTAGATAACACTGCATTCAACCATTCATCGTCTTTCAAGACCCGAAAGCCTTCCACTTCTACATGAACTTTTTATTTATGTTACGTTTACATTATTTTTAAATAGTTTGTCGGCTTCTCTTGTTCTCCCACAGCCTGTGTCAATACGACAAATGACAGATTTTTGTTGTAGTACCGGAGAAGGGCAACAGCTAGGACATGTATATGATCTTGTTGGAGACCGTCAAAGGATATATAGCTTTTTACCGGATAATACAACTAAAATTTGTCTCTTCGGTAGTTACATAGTGGCTAGATTGTTGTTTCTTATGCATCAGTTAATCACTTGTCTGTAAGTACGTTTTTCTAAGCTTTCACGTATTTGAAGTATTGTGGAAGGGTTGTTGTGGAAGGGTTGATGTCTTAAACACAGATGATTGAAGAAAAATAAAGACTTGCAGCAAAAAGATAAAAAAAACTGTAATAAAGGAAGAAATTCGGTGTTCATGAAATAAAAAGGTATGCTGCAGTATATTCTTTACTATGGAGAAAAACAATGAAATATCTATCTGTAATATATTCTATTTCCTAGTTGATCAATTAATAACCTAAAAGCTGCCAATTTTAGTTGGCTCTACGGTTGAACCTTGCAAGCAGGGACAATAACACCAGGCATGTGAACGAACACAATGGATAAAGGAGCAACCATTATCGGCTTCGCAGAAATAACATGTAAAGGCTCCAAAGGAGGTATGATCCCCGAAGAATTTACACTTAAAACTTTTCCGTTGAGTAGCATAGTTTGGCTCTGTAAATTTCCGTCTTTTGCTGTTAGATGGTATTCCTCTCTTCTTAGTCTAGAATAGATGCCTTTAGGCAGCTTGATGATCGTTGTTTTATGGATTCTGTGCTTATGGTGCGAAATACGAGACCGGTACATGTGTCGCAAGGTTAATGTGCTGTTGAACGCAAGCTTTGCCCTGACCGTAGTGCTATTGTCTAGGTTGATCAGTAGTACTGTGATGCCTTTCTGCAAGATATAACAAAACTTTGGTTAAAATCTTAGAAAGTACGACTACTTGCTATGATAATTGCATATGAGATGATGAACTTACTGATTGTTTTGCACAGTGAGTGTATGAGCGGATCTTTTCAGTACCGTTGAAGCTTGTCGAAAGAACATTTCTTCCCATTAGCCGGTGCCAAAGAAGAGCACTGCCATGGAGGGAAAATATCATCAATGTCTCATATAGATAGGCCGCGTGTCTCATAATGAAAGAATTTCAGAAAGCAAAATAACCTGTAGTAGTCTGGATTTGGTTCAAAGTTGGTGGTGTTTAGTAAACCATAATTTCCACCAACCAGTGACTGTCTGCAATACGTTTTCGTATCATACTTGGATGCCATGCCGAGTTGATCTAAATACCAGAAACTGAACACAAATGCATTTGTAACAAGTGGATGGCCGCTGTTGTAAGCTCCTCCGGCCTCACCCACCCAGGCCACTGCTGAAGTTGGAGAACTCTTGATGATGTTATGGAGGCCGCTGAATGTTTCGGACTCACCTTCGAGAACAGATGGATCGAGAATCTTTTCGACAAGATGCTCATCAACTCCTACATAGAGAAAAATGATCGTCAAGTCCGAACCTTCTTTCATGTCTTAAGCTCCTAGATGATCCAAATACTGGATTGTACAAGGTGATCATACCTGGTCCAAGATTGTATATGTGGTGAGTGACAACATCTACGGATTTGATTGTCTTATTTATGTATTCTTTGAACCATTCCGAGTCATAGAACCCACCGGGTGCAATAATCAACGGCTTCAAATCGACATTCTTGTATACATTTTCCACTACGCTTTGAAGAGCAGCAGTGTCAGCTGCATACTGGTCTGCCGAGACCCGAGTTCCAACCCCGCTCCCAGACAATTCATTTCTTAATAAGCAAAACATAACAAACACAATTCATTTCAATCTTAGTACAGATAGTGTATCAATAATTCAGACATTTCATCAGTGGTTACCTAACTCCCAACCATGAATGGTATGGTTCTTTTCGACAGTGTAACGAATAAAAGATTCGGCATTGGTGTAGTTCCAAGCACCAAGGGCTTCACCGTTAGATTGTATAGTTCGACCAGCAAGAGCATTTAATCCAAAAATAACCTTAGCCCTGAATTATGAAACAGTTGAGTTATATTAATCATTCATATTGGTGTTCATTATATATGTATGTTTGTATATACCCTGTTTTTTGAAAGAAGGAATTGAGTTCATCCCATCTATCCATTGGCAAACATCCTTGTGTAAAACCAAACATCTCAGATGTGTCCTTGACAAACGGAGTGCAGGGTTGTTGATTGTCATTTGTGCCGTATATGACTTTGTCTTGTAATGAGCCGCCCAATCTAATCTTCAATGGTGAAAAACCTGAAAAATTATAAATAATTAAACAAAATAAGATGAAGTATCAATAATTAAAGAATATCCATCGAATGAAAAAGGAATTGACTTGCCTCTTACGGCATTCAAGAACATTTTATTACTAAGATCCTGCAAAAAAGAAGGGAAGATCAGCAACCACTTTTAAACTGGGAAAATTGGCTTTCCGGATTGAACAGGAACACTCCTTCAAAAGCATGAAAATGTTACAGAAAAGTGAGAAACAAGAACAGTGTGAAGTACGTCCAAAAGCAAAAGAATACCATATTGAGAAGACCAGCAAGACCCCAACTGCATGTACCATAATCACACTTCTCAGGAGGCCACCAATCCAAAGTAGCACAAATGAAATCTTCATCTATTCTACCAATGGCAGCTTTCCCTTCAATAAAAACAGTTCCTTCAACAGTTGCGTTAGCAACTTGTGAACTAGCAAAACTCAAAACAACAAAACAAACCCAGAAACAAAAAGAACCCATTGGCAAAATCTGAAAACCAAAAATAAAAAAAAAAGTTGTTAAAATAATCATGTATATAATTGCAAGTAAAACAAATAAGATAAAAAACAAAAACACTTATCATGAAAAACCTTATAAGAACATAGACAGTAACGGATAAAACAAAACAGATTAAAAAAATAAGAACACTATAACATCAAAATTACATGGATTTGCAGCTACAAAACCTCACAGGAATTCTACGATTTTGTCTTACAATAGCCCTAATCCTTTTCATCTATTTATAGGATTAGTTACTTAATAGGAAAGAAATATTATATTACAAGAAGTATTCTTCAATATGGTTCCTACCTTCGGTTAAGAACTAACAGAAGAAACATAGTCATATAAAAATTGTATGTAGCGATTAAAATATTCTTCAATATGAATTTTATTTTCAGTTAAAAACTAATAGAAAAAATATATTCTTCTATAGATTGGATGTAATGATTAAATCTAACATAAATAATTTCCTCGGGTAATCCAATACGTATTTCATTGTACTAGAACTTTGTCCATGTTTGGAAAACATGTTAGATACCGACACTCACGATAGAAGCTTTAATGTTTCATTGTAATGAATCGCATATTCATTATGTTATCCTGATCATGTCTTCCGGTTCAACAAGAATCCTGTTGGAATTCCGAATTTTATTTGTTTTTAACATATGTAACATTACACTTGAAGATGCAGTTGAGCATTTTTAAAAATAACCTTGTCATCTGTCCTTGATGCACTATGGAGACTTTCGTACCACAGTTGAGGCACTTTATGAGGAAATTCACCCAGATTATTTACTTTGTTGTATGAAAAAAAAATCGAACTATTACTTGGTAAAAACGTTCTCATCTTAAGTGCAAAAACAGTTTCTAAATTAAATCAAAAAAGTGAAAAACTTGTTGCAGGATTCTGTTGTTCAACAACCTGTTGTCAGTATAATAACTGACAGAGTTTTGTTCTCATACAACCTGTTAGATGATTTTTATCTATTCTTATTTTAACATCGGTGCCTTTAGGCAGCTTGATTATTGTTGTTCTATGGATTTTATGCTTATGGTGCGAAGTATGAGACAATTGTTTGGTACAGTTCGATTGTTAGTTTCTGTACTTTGGGTGGCTTGTGGCAGATTCCAGACAATTCATGTTTATATCTTAAACATTGAACTAAGGATGATGGTGAAATGATGACTATCAATTACAAACTGCTTGAAGGTCTTAATATTTGATAGTTGGGAGCCAATTGCCCTACAAATTATCGTCAGTATCAATGTGAAGTTTCTTTATTTCATTAAAATTTCACACTTTGGTATCATTTCTCTATGTTTTGGATGCCACTTCTGAGAAAAAGCCTAAGGAAAACCGAGATATGAGGGACCTCAAATCAGTGCTGCTTCTATAGGTCTCCTACCTTGCTGGTAGTATTGAAAGTAGAGACTGACATAATCCTTCACTCTCTTGTATAATCTGGGATTTGTTTCATTGATGAGATCTTCCACTGGTTGAATCTCTTGATCCGGATGCGGAATGCAGAAGACAGCCAGAGTAGTCCTCTCCCTCTCCGAGTTTGTCACTACTCGGTGTACCGGACTCTTGAATATTCCATTGGTCATTATCTGTGTGCAGTTCATGGAACCACTAATGTAAGTCACTTGTTAATCATGACATCTCTACTTAATTTACTGCACAAAATCATGTCACAGAAACTCTCATCTTTTAGCAGAGAACTTCTTGCCATTACCTCTATTTGATCACCAACATTGATCAGAAGAGCTTGAGGTACGATCGGAACGTTAAACCATTGATCATCTTTCAGGACTTGAAGACCCTCCACTTCTTTGTCTTGCAATAGCATGGTGATTGCAGATCCATCCGCATGAGGTTTAACCCCAAGAGCTAAATCAGGCCTTGGACATATAGGATAGAAATTGAATCTTGTTTGCATTGTTGCTTGATCTCCATATTGTTGCAAAAACTGGTTCTCCTCCAAGTTTAGTGACCTTGCCATTGCCTTTAACAGGACTTCAAGGATCACTTGTAATTTCATTGAATATTCATGCAAAATTTCCCTGTAACACAGATAAGACACATATTGAACTTGTTTGATTGCTAATATTCATTCAGATTCCTATGGCCTTAAAGGAGAAGAACAACAAATACCTGAAAGATTCAGGGTTTTCAGGCCAAAATTTTAATGTTCGCTTTTGTTCAGGGCTCAGTATAAGATACAATCTATCAGTCCAATCGAGTATCTGATTTTCGGATAAGATCATATCGTTTCCGTACCCTTCGATGCCCCCGATTTCTCTGGAGTATTTCTTCTTTTCTTCCGATGGAAGAGCAAAGAATTGGCGAGCAAGTTCTTGCAGTGTGACTAGAAACTCACCTGGAATTCCATGATTGACTGCCTGCAACTCACAAAACAATTCTAATGCTTTAAGTAGATTGATGATCGAGTTTCAGAAGATAGCCTTAACCAAAAACCAGACCTGAATGCAGCCACAGGAGCTGAGAGCCGATCTGAGTTTGTCGAGTTCTTCTCCACTGTTGGAAGATGAAGATGCAAGGAGTTGCAGATCTATAATTGGAACATCCAACACAGGAAAGCAGACATCAAGGGCTCCATCTCCACTGTTATCAGCTTTACGGATGTATCTTTCAGGAACTTCTTTACCGCCGATAGCTGCCAGTTCCTGCACGGTCTTCGGTTGTGGTTGAAGCTCGATAGGACCGAGTGGTTGAGCTTCAGCCATATTGAAAAATAGAGACCCCAAGGTTCAAGCCTGTTCAATATCCACTGCCTTAATTACTATATAGGCAACAATGGAGAAACATTGACCAGTTTCTGCTTGACATCATTCATGACGATATATCCTCCGGCAAACTTCAATTAGCAGGTAACACAGAGATTACAACATGGATTTGAAACCAGTCAACTAAAAGACAAAACCATGAAAAAGAGTGATTCCATTCCACTTGCTTCATTCTCTTTCTTCTTTTTTTCAAGATCTTCATAGTATTTTAATGAAGTAAATATGTGGGTGGATTGGCTTTAGACATTTAATATGCTATATTATCTCAAGTGGTGAGTGGGGACAACCGGTGAAGGCGGCGACGCCTTCCTCAACAAAACCATTTTTTTATTGTAAAATTCAGTCTTCGACTACTAATCTTGGAAACATACAATCTTATTTTCACACCTTATTCGTAAATTTGACATTTTGCATCTTCTAAGATTTCTAGAGTTGATAAAAAAGGAGTTAAATTAGTATTTGATATGAATTTGTCAGTTTAAAAAGTTATAGTGAGATAATACAAAAATATATTATATATATAAAACAAAATTTAATATGATTTGATTTTATAGTGAGGAAACTATCCACACAGATATTGCGAAGAGTATAAATATATAGAATCAAAATTTCATATATCTTAAAAATTGATATAGATTACAAACTCATATTTCACTAAAAACTTTTAGTCTCTACAAAACCACTCAAACAGAGATACCAAAATTAATTACATTTCTCAAACCGTCTTTAAATTTATTCAAAAAGTAAAAAAGTTGTTGCAAGCTTCTGTTGTTCTCCCACAACCTGCTATGACAGATTTTTGTTGTAGCACCAAAGGACAACAGCTAGGACATGTCTATGATCATGTTGGACACTGTCAAAGGATGTATGACTTTTTGCAGATTAATTCCACCAGAATCCGTCTCTTTGGTAGCTACATAGTGGTAAGATTGTTTTGTTTCTCATGCATCAGTTTATCACATATTTGTACATATGTTCAATATTTTTTTCCTAGTTTTCAGGTGTTTGAAGCATTCTTGAAGGGTCAATCAATGTGTTAAACCCCGTTAATTGAAGAAAAATAAAGACTTGCAACAAAATGACTGTAAAAAAACTGAGAAGGGACGAAATTCAGAGTTCATGGGGAAAAAAAGGTATGTTGCATTATATTCTTCACTATGGAGAAAAATAATGAAATATCTGTAACATGCTATATTTCTTATTTGATCAATCAATCACCTAAAAGGAACCAATTTTAGTTCCCTCTACGGCTGAACCTTGCAAGCAGGGACAATAACCCCAGGCATGTGAGCAAACACAACGGATAAAGGAGCAACAGTTATCGGCTTCGCCGAAATTACATGTAAAGGCTCCAATCGAGGTATGATCCCTGAAGAATTTACACTTAAAACGTTTCCATTAAGTAGCATGGTTTGACTCTGTAAATTTCCATCTTTTGCTGTTAGATGGTATTCCTCTCTTCTTATTTTAGCATCGGTGCCTTTAGGCATCTTGATGATCGTTGTTTTATGGACTTTGTGTTTATGGTGTGAAGTACGAGAACGGTGCTTGTGTCGCAAGGTCATTGTACTGTTGAAAGCGAGCTTTGCCTGGACCGTAGTGCTATTGTCTAGGTTGATCAATAGTAGTGTGATGCCTTTCTGCAAGATATAACAAAACTTTGGTCAAAATCTTAGAAAAGTAAGATTACTTGCTTTGATAATTGCAAATGAGATGATGAAGTTACTGATTGTTTTGCACAGTGAGTGTACGAGCGGATCTTTTCAGTCCCGGTGAAGCTTGTTGAAAGAACATTTCTTCCCATTAGCCGGTGCCAAAGAAGAGCACTGCAATGGAGAAAGAACATCATCAATGTCTCAAATACATAGGCCATGACTCATGAGTCTTGTAATGAAAGAATTTCAGAAAGCAAAATAACCTGTAGTAGTCTGGATTTGGTTCAAAGTTGGTGGTGTTCAGTAAACCATAATTTCCACCAACCAGTGACTGTCTGCAATATGTTTTCGTATCATACTTCGATGCCATGCCGAGTTGATCTAAATACCTGCATTTCATGTCCCAGATAATATCAATCGGAAATCTATTGGACCAAAAGGCCTAAGCATCAGGATAGCAAGGTATTAGGATTTTACCAGAAACTGAACACGAATGCATTTGTAACAAGATTATGGCCACTGTTGTAAGCCCCTCCGGCCTCACCCACCCAGGCAACTGCTGAAGTTGGAGAACTCTTGATGATGTTATGGAGGCCGCTGAATGTTCCGGACTCACCTTCAAGAACCGATGGATCGAGAATCTTTTCAACAAGATGGTCATCAACTCCTACAGATAGAAAAATGATCAAGTCCGAACCTTCTTTCATGCCTTAAGATCCTAGAAGATCGAAACACTGGATTGTACAAGGTGAATCATACCTGGTCCAAGGTTGTATATGTGGTGAGTGACAACATCTACAGATTTGATTGTCTTATTTATGTATTCTTTGAACCAATCCGAGTCATAGAACCCACCAGGTGCAATAATCAACGGCTTCAAATAGACATTCTTGTATATGTTCTCCACTACGCTTTGAAGAGCTGCAGTATCAGCTGCATACTGGTCTGCAGAGACCCGAGTTCCAACCCCGCTCCCACACAATTCATTTCCTGACAAGCAAAACATAACAAACACAATTCATTTCAATCTTTGTACCGATAATGTATCAATAATTCAGACATTTCATCGGTAGTTACCTAACTCCCAACCATGAATGGTATAGTTCTTTTTGACAGTGTATCGAATAAACGATTCGGCATTGGTGTAGTTCCAAGCACCAACGGCTTCACCATTGGAATCTATAGTTCGACCAGCAAGAGCATTTAATCCAAAAATAACCTTAGCGCTGAATTATGAAACAGATGAGCTAAATTAATCATTCATATTGGCGTTCATTATATATGTATGCATGTATGTATATATATACCCTGCTTTCTGAAAGAATGAATTAAGTTGATCCCATCTATTCATAGGTAGACATCCTTGTGTAAAACCAAACATCTCAGATGTGTTATTGACAAACGAAGAGCAGGGCTGTTGATTGTCATCTGTGTCATATATGACTTTGTCTTGTAATGTGCCGCCCAATCTAATCTTCAATGGTGAAAAAGCTGAAAAATTATAGGGACTGATAAATAAATAAACAAATTAAGATGGAGTATTTGAAACAAATAAAAGATGTCCACCGAATGGAAAAGGAATGAACTTGCCTTTTACTGCATTCAAGAATATATTTTTACTAAGATCCTGCAAAAAAGAAGGAAAGATGAAAGATCATCAAGGCAACCATTTTTAAACTGGGAAATAAGCTTTTCGGATTGAACAAAAGTACCCTTTCTAAAGTATGAAAGGACCCCCCAAAATTTTCCAGAAAACTGATAAACAAGAACAGAAACACTATTAAAAAACATGTTCGGTTGATTGCAGATAGAAGCAGAAGACATTACCAGATTGAGAAGACCAGCAAGACCCCAACTGCATGTACCATAATCACATTTCTCAGGAGGCCACCAATCCAAAGTAGCACAAATGAAATCTTCATCTATTCTACCAATGGCAGCTTTCCCATCAATAAAAACAGTTCCTTCAACAGTTTCATCAGCAGCTTGTGAACTTACAAAACTCAAGAACACAAAACAAACCCACAAACAAAAAGAACCCATTGGCCAAATTTGAAAACCCATCAAAAGAAAAAAAAAGTTTTAGATCTTAAAACTCTTTCAATGTGCTCTAAATGGGCATGAAGTTGAAGATGTTAGCTTCCTAACTTGGTTTCCCATACGAGGCAAAAGTAAAAGATAACTTTTTTGTTTCCAAAAAAAATAAAAGATACTAATCAATACGCTGCTCGGAAAGTGTATAATAAAAGCTAACAGAGTAGCATATTACATATATGGAAAGGTGGGAAGAATCAAGTTAAGCTTACAATGGTTAGCTTGACATCTTCGTTTAATTAAGTTAGCAGTTTAGAATAAAGTGAAGTTTGCCCAAGTGGGATCATTAATGTGCTGTTCTTACCTTCTATACGATTGAATGAATCAAAAGGTTGTGAGATTAGGTATGGGTCTTGGGTTGTTTTTTTTTTTAATATTATTCAGCACGAGAAATATACACTTTCTGTTGAATTCGACTCCTTATAAAGAATATAAATATTTTATCTGATTTAATCTGACTCGATTCGAAAAATATTTTTATTTCACTCGAATTCAATTTAATTTAAATTATGAGATAAAACTCATATTTCACCTGACATAACATTAATATATACAAATATACTTTTATTCTGTAAAATGAGAACTTAAATAGAAAAACTAAATATATAGTATATTATAGTAATTGTCTCTAAATTTGTAGAAGAAAATTATTTTATTATTTTGAATCAAGTTAATTTAAAGATTTTTTGTCTTAACCAACTTAATCTCATCTTCTATAAAATTCGACTTGATCTGACTTAAATTAATTTTTTTAAATAATTTAATTTTATTAAATTAAATCAGATCAAAATTCGTAGTTTTAAGTTAAATTATCATCTCTACGCGAGATCCATTGTTTTGTAAGAATACATGAAGCAGGTGTAGACGCTCAATTTGTCCGGGGTGTTATTCGTGTTTAATCTGGTTTTATTATTGTTTTTATTGCAATTTCGGTTATTAGCATAAGTTTGGTATTTTGTAGGTATTAATATATATATATATATATATATATATATATATATATATGCAAACAATTAAACAATTAAAAATGCACTAAAAATGGTCTTTGATTTTTACAGGCCCAAATTACAAAGGGTCATTTGATCCAATTCCAGCAACCCAACCCAAGACCCGTTTGGGGCCAGAACTGATCCAAGCCTAAGGGAAACCCTAAATTTTGATAAGGTTTCCCTAACCCTCTGGCGTTGCGCATCAAGAGTCGTTGGATTCAGGGAGATCCAACGGCATGCATGCTTTAGTCATTAG